AATCCTGGCTGCTTCCGTTCGCGCTCGTTCCCCTTTCTTCTGCCGCACGCTCCCGCGCCAACACACGTGCCGAGGATGCACACACGGACGCACACAGCCTCACGCGCAGCACAGACGCACAGACGCACACACACCCACACGCACACAAAAGGCGCGCGCGCGCACGGGCGCGTACGACGAGCGCGCAGGCGAGAATGAAGGGGGAGGGAGGGGAGTACCGGCGAGATACGTAATCGTGATGTCTTCGGCCGCCGCGCCGCGCCGCGCCGCCTCGGGCGACTCCGCTGCACGTCGGCTACCTTCGGCCGCGTAACTGCGCGCACGAACGCGCACAAGTAAACCAACCGATGACGAAACCGACACACGCCGAACGAGAGGAACGTGCACCAATCCGCGCGGACGGCGATAGCGACGGCGGCGGGCAACAGCGGCGGCAACCGAGACGGAGATACGCGCGGGAAGTTTTTCTTTCTACACCGCTGCTCCTGTTTGATTCTCCAACGGTCTCTCCCTCGCGATTAAACAACGATCAATGAATATTTCCAGCTGGACTCTCTTCCCTCGTCGATCGTCGTCTTCGAGGGATCTCGAGCGGCTTAATGAATTTGTTTTTTCTACAAAGTTGATTCCAGCTTTTTCAAATGGGCTCGGTTTCTCTCAAATATCCCCCCTTCGTGTTGGTGAATCGCGTATCTCCCTTTATCGATCACTGTCGATCGATCTCCAGCACCCAGGAAAATGCACGAATTTTACTCGAGTGCTCCGTTTTTAGCGTTCTTTTTTTCAAACGTCGGGAATCATGTATTTTTATTTTCTTTCTCCTTCACACGACGTGCCTCTGCTTCGATCGCGATCGTCCGGTCGTCTTGATTCCTCCTCCTGTTACCGCGACCGTGCTCTTCTCCTTCTGGTCTCCACTCCTTTCTCACTGCGTTTCACCACATTTACCCGCCGATTGCACTGCAAATCACAAGTCGATTATCACCACCGTTGCGTCCACTGAGCATTCGCGAACGCGACTCGTGCCGACTTCGCGTACATACGATTCCCGACATAAATAAACGGCAACTATACACACAACCGTCGCGATACCACCGATACGAAAGTGCCGCGTGAGGTAACTGCGCTTCGAACGCCGCCGAGAGAAGCCGATCGCGCGAGCGAGCACGCGCGCGCGCGCGCGCGCGCGCGCGCACGCACGCACGCATAAGGCAGTGAGGGAGGGGAGAAGGAGCAAAACAACGCACGATGAGTGAAAGAGCGAGAGGAGCGATCAGCGAACGGAATGAAAGAGAGAATACGCCTACGCGCGGTCGCGTAACGCGAGAAAAATAAACAGCGAGTTAAACGGAAACAGAGCGTGCGCGCGCGCGCGCGCGCGACAGAGAGAGAGAGAGAGAGAGATAAATATAGAAAGAGCGATAAAGCGAAATTTATTATGCGCCTTGAAATGAGATTACTTATAAATTAAACGGGGGAATTTAATTCCTTTGTCGCGTGCGTGCGTCTTTTCGTGGAGATTAACGCACAGGATTTTACATGTAGTTTTACGTAAGAACGAGAACACGAAATATTGTTCTTTGTACGCGTGCAGCAGTTCACACACATGTGCAGTTCGAAAAAAATACGCAGTAAACATTTGGAAAAATTGAACTTTCTCATATCAATAATAAAACGTAATAAAAGTTTAAATGTTAATCTGAAATATTCATTTTTAAGATTCATTGGATGAAACAGCAATTTAACATGTAAAAAAAAATTATGTATTCGAAGAAATATACTATTTAAACTTGGAAAAATTGAATTAATTTTGATATAAGAGATGAAATACTTATAATAAAAATTTAAATGTTAATATAAAGTATATTCATTTTTGACATTCATTATACGAGAAGTAGCAATTTTATACATAAAAGAAATTACGTATTCGAAAAAAACACACAATTTAATATTGGAAAAAATTATACTTTCTTTTATCAAAAAAGAAATGTAATAAGAATTTAAATGTTAATTTGAAATATACATTTTTGAGATTCATTGAATGAAATAGCAATTTAATATGTATTATTTATAACGAATTAGGATGTAAAAGAATTTTATATTTACTTAAAAAATTGCAAATTTTTTTTTCTTCTGCACAGAGAAGAATAAAATAAGTATTTCGAAAACTTGTAATAATTTTAAGAATATATTTTTAATTAAAATTTAAAAACACAAAAATAAAAAATTTTTTGTAGGTTCCAATTTAATGGGATGATCAAATATGGGTTTGTCGATTCAGAGAAGAGTGAGTTAACAACTAAATATAAAACAAAATACATAAAAAAATAATTTATTTACAAAAGCTCAGCTCATTCCAGCTTTGCAGTTTCTACATAAAAATGAAATGGTTGTGCATTCAGAATGTGAGAGGAGAAAAGGCATAAGAAAATGTGGTTACATCAAGCAGACCTAAAGAAAAAAAAAAAGAGGCAAAAAAATAGAAGCTGTTAATATGATGAATAAAGATGCGTGGTTAATGATAGAGCGATTAATACAGAGTTATTACGACACAAGAATTAGAGGTTAAGTCCATCTCTAAATGAATTTTTGCGCGATACATATACGTATATAAATGCAGTATACAATAAATATTAAGTACACACAGATGTTTTTCCAGTCTCCTTCAATTCTTAGCGATAAGGCATTAACGTTAAAAAGCTATTTTCCTAAGTAATCACATGGACTTGTCCGCGAGATATGGCAAACGTCGCGCGCCAGTCGATCGAACAAACATTAAAGGCATTTACAATATCCGGAGTACATCACGCCGGATGTGCCTCCGCCACGAATTCTTTTTACGGCGCGTTTCTCAATAAAAATTTCCTCAATCAAAATCGGTTTTCTCTCGGAGCGAAAAACATTAGGCCGGATACTCTACGTATTCGGACGATCTCACGACGGCTCGGGAAAGCCAGGTTTCCGTCTGAAAAGAAAATCTTGAAGTTAACCGAAAAGCCATCTGTCATCACGATTGAACACGACGAATGCACAAAGTAGAGACGAAGAAGACAAGGGGAAGCGGGATCGTCTCGGATTCCAAGCGATTCCGAATAAGACTTTTCTCGCACGAGTCACGGACGAAGCGGGGAGGAGGAGGAGGACTCTTTCGATTTCGGGCTCGTCGGAGCCCCGCAGCTATTGGCTCACAGAGCCAAGCTGCTATCGTTACGAGGCTGGCGAGGCAACGCGCCAGCTGATAACTCACAAACAAAGGGGCAGGCGAGCCGCCTTCGCGCAACAACGCTTTCTACCCGAACGTCCACTAGAATGCGCCAGCTGAGAATCCCGTCGTCCCCTCGTCGAAGCGCCCCTTATGCGCCTCGTACGCGTACGTCTCTCTACACACACGCACGCGCGCGCGCATACATACATTCACGCCCCTGTGTATATTTACGTACGCATACGCGTATGTATATGCCCGTATATATGCCCTCCTAACATCCGCCCGATGACATTTGGCACGGGTCGCCAGCGGTAAAAGAGTACGCAAATATAGGTAACAGAGAAAAAGTAGAATAGGAGAGAAAATAAGTGGAATAAAGAGACTAACGGTGTCCTGTGTTTCACTACGTTGTGTGGACGATCGGCACTGTCCAGCACTATATTAGCTCGCTCGCTCGCTCGCTCGCTCGCTCGCTCTCTCTCTCTCTCCCCTCCCTCCCGCACACATAGGTTTCCCACAGGGGCGGAGGGGCGCACAGCGGTGACGGGGTGGGAGCAGGCTGATCGGACAACGAACAATACCGTACGCGAATGGAAAACGAGCAAACGGCCACGGCGAGGAAAACGGGCGGCCGAAGTTAACGCGACGGTTTAAACGACGACTACGACTACGTCGATTCGCGGACGATACGCGGACGAATATATGAACGAACGAACGTACGAACGACCGAGCGAGCGGGCGAGCGACAACTTGACACCTCCGCGTTTCGCGAGCACTCGCACGCATTTATCGATGTCAAACGCTCACCTCGGCGGCAGCAGCGCTCCGCTTGA